CCAACTGCAGATGAAAACACGATTTATGATCCACAGTTGGGCATCTACAGATGTGGAGGGCTGACTATATACATTGATCTACACCAATTTATGTAAAGGACTTGAGAATCTGTGGATTTTGGTATCTGCTGGGGGCAAGGGCAGGGGTGCAGTTCCTGGAACCAACCTCCGGAGAATACCAAGAGATGACTATAGTTGAGTTTTTGGGGATTTAAGTTACAGGAAGATTTTCCACTGCAGGGCGTTGGGGTGGTGTCACTGAGAGTGGGGGGATTGGCACTCTTAACCCCCAAGTTATTCAAGGGTCTACTGTATATCCTTTGGAAATCACATCATGGGTTGTGTAGGTATATATTTTTAATTAGTGGACTAGTGCTATAAAAACTCAACAACTCATGTTTTAGATGTGTTGCACTGTGTTCAGTTGGTTGTTTTAGATAATCATATAATATTTTCATAGTACATCTCCACTTCATTTTACTTATCCTTTCCCCCAAGGATGGGTACTTTCTAACTTCCACATTACAAATAATACAGCCAAGAATAGTCAGGTACATGTTCTCAAAAAGATCTGGATGTGAGCATTTCTGAGATATCTCCCCAGAAGTGGATTGCTGGATCATAGGACATCCTGGCACTTAATTCCTCCAGTACCATTAGATTGCTTTCCAGAACTACTGGACTAGTTTATATTCCCTGCAAGAATATCTAATTTTCTGTCATTCTTATTTCTTCTCCAACACTTGATATTATCTAGTGTTCTAGTTTTTGCAATTCTAATGGACAATGTGGAATTTTATTGATATTTAAACTTTCAGTATTTTTGTTGTTAATGGTGTTGAGCTTTTCTTCATATATTTATTAGACATCTAGCCTTTCCCTGAGGTTTATCTGTTCATATCCTTTGGCTATTTTTCTACTGGGTATTGCCTTACTTTCTTGTTGATGTACAGAGGTTGTTTTTTGTTTTGTTTTGGGAGGAGGATAGTCTAGACATTAATCTCCTTTGGTTTTAGATGCCACTGATATCTTTTCTAGAGTGTTAATTTTTTCTAAGATATCCTTCATTGAACCACACTTCTTCGTGTTGATGAAGTTAAATCCCCCAATTTTGATATTGTGATTTGAAGATTTAGCTTCATGTTCAAAGATTCTTTATCTACTCATAGACTGCAAGGATGACTTTCTACACTTTATTTTATTAGCTTTTTACTTTTCACATTTAGGTCTTTGGTCTATCTGGAGTTCACTTTTGAATACAGCATAAGTCATGGATCCAAGCTTATTTTGAGGAAGGTTCAGAATTATTTTGAAAGTTCAGAAATAAAAAAAGCATGAACAATTGGTTAGTTGGAAAAACCCAAAGATTTGAATCACTGGAAATCATATAGAACTGATTTCTTGTGTTTGTTTTATTTTGTTAGAGAAACATCCCAAAGAATTCCTCCTTGGTTCTGGTGCCAAAGAAAAAATGCTTGACATTTAGTACCTGTATTAGTCTTTTAGGGCTAACATGACAAAGTATCATAGTCTGTGTGGCTTAAACAACAGAAATGTATTGTTTCATAGTTCTGAAGGCAAGAAGTAAGATGAATATGTCAGCAGGGTTGATTTCTTCTGAAGCTTGTTTCCTTGTCTTGTACACAACCATCTTCTCTGTATCTTCACACAATATTCTGTGTGTGTGTGTGTGTGTGTGTGTGTGTGTGTATGTGTGTTCTAATAGCCTCTTCTTGTGAGAACATCAGTCATATTGGATTAGGACCCACCCTAATAATCTCATTTCACTTTAATTACCTTATTAAAGACCCTATGTCTCCAAATATAGCCACATGCTAAGGTACTGGGAGTTAGCACCTTCAACATATGAATTAGGGGGTGGGGGCCACAATTCAGCCCATAACTGTACCTATGTTTTCACCTGTGGCTAGAGTGGCTGATTATGGTTAATACAGATTTGATTGTTGATGACTTTTCAAAGGCCATTTCACTTTTGATGAATTTAGAATAATTTTTTTGGGGAAAATATTATAGTGATCTTTCTTTTAATCTGTTAATCTGTCTTGTGTGAACTCTCAGGAAATAATCATTATATGATAGCCTTTAAAACAGAATACCTCTAGAAATCAGGGACGGTTTATATTAAACCGAAAAAACAGGAATCATTTCAGGGCTCTTTAGTCCCATGCTAGGACTTAACTTCAAATGTTATAATGTGTCATATTTAGAGTGAAAGCTCAGCTCAAAAACGTAGCCGGTGAAACAAATAGAAATGTATTTTTCTCTTTCTTCGGGTTAGCTTTGCTCCAAGTGGGCGCTCAGGATCATAGAATCCTTCCACCTTGTTCTTCCTTCCCTCAGTGTGTTATCCTCCTCTGCGAGATCCATGCTGGTCGTGGGCTTGCCTGTGTTCCAGCATGAGAGAAGGTCAGGAAAACAGAGGAGGGCATATCTGATGCCTTCAGCCCGAGACCAGGAAGTGGAATCTATCACATCCCACATTATTCCACTGCTGAGAATTTAGCCCTATCGCCACATCTAGTTGCCCAGGAGACTGTGAAACGAAGTCTTCTGCTGAGCTGCTGTGTGCCCAGCTACAATGAAAGAAGGGGAAGACTGTGTTTAGTGGATAGCTAGTGGTCTCCCATGCATAATGAAGTTCTAGTAACTTATACTATGTG